GTATTGAATTATCCTTTTTTTCTTCGTACCATCCTCAAACTAATGGTGTGGCTGAGAGGGCTAACCAGTCATTGGAACTGTATTTACGCTGTTTTATCAACAGCACGCAGGAGACTTGGTCTGAATTGCTACCTTGGGCCGAATTTGCCAGGAATAATGCTACCCATGACTCATCCGGGCATAGTCTATTTTTTGTTATCAAGGGTCGCCATCCGACTGTTCTTCCTGCTGTATTCTCTGACACTGCTATCCCCTGCTCTGGATAACCACCTTATGTCTATACTTGAAACTTGGACTAAAGTCCACTCAGCTCTTGAGAATGTGGCTGCTCGTTTCAAGTTTCATGCTGATAAACAGGGTTGGCACCCCGCCGCTTAACAGGTTGGTGATCGGGTGTGACTCTCCTCACATTATATGAGACTCAAGGTTACTAGCATGAAGTTTGCTCCCAGATTTATTGGTCCCTTTCATATTGTTCAGAGGATCAATCCTGTTTCATACTCTCTTGCACTTCCTGCCTCCTTACGTATACCTAATTCATTTCATGTAGCTTTGCTTAAGCCTCTTATTTGTTATAGGTATACTGTCACTTATGTCCCTCCTCCTCCCCTGGTTGTGTGTGGAAGGGAGGAGTAAGAGGTCTTTTCCATAGTTGACTCCACGGTTTTTCTGGGCTCCCTGCAATACCTGGTTGATTGGAAGGGTTATGGGTCTGCTGATCGATCCTGCCTCTGATATGCAGAGAAAAAGAGTAGGTGTAAAAAAATCCTATGTACGTGTGAGTGGACAGGAAAAAAAAGACTGAAGCTATAGGGGAGGGGGCTCTCCTATTTGTTTAATTAGGAGGTGTCCCTGTCCAATTTAAGAGTGGTAGAAGCTATACCTAAAAATGTATTCCATCATAAATGTATTCCTACCTAATTATTAGACTTAGTCTTTATATGCATTCAAATTTATTATGCCTATTCCCCTTTAGTTTATTATAAATTCTCCCTTTTTGGTTTTGTATTTATTGTTATTTGGTTTATACTTCCCTTTACATTTATTATTTTCTCCCCTTCTCTTGATTGTCTCTACCTAATTTATTGGTAGCTCTCTAGAGAGCAGCATTGTTTCTTCTATTCATTTTTTCAGCTTTTATTTTATGTATAGCGGGATATTTAAACTGTCTTACTAGTGTGTTGTACATTCCTATGACTAAGGTCCAAAAGGTCTGTAATGTGTAAGGAACTGGTTTCACAACTCCCCCACCTGTGTTATTTGAGATGCCAATAAACATTTACAGGAGATATATACTATGACATCTTGTACATTCATATTTTTGAATTTAGTATAAATTTGGAATTCTGTTTTCAGTGCAGTATTACTTCATATTGTTCACATATTAGTCTTACCCAAGTAATCCTCTTCTGACCTGGTTGACGGGAGATTATAGTAACTTTGTGACCTCTTTTGTAGAGTAACTTTGATAGTGATTGTCCAATGAACCCACCGCCTCCTCCTGCAGTAAAAAGCAGGGACAAACTGATTATATGGTCCCAAAGGTTATCTAGAAGTTAAACTTTGAATGGCCTATAACTAAAGGACCACTAACTGTATCTCGAAGTGGTCTGAGTGCAATAGCCCTGTAGTTATATCTATTCAATTTAAAACCTTAGCATTTTGTATACAGGAAGCACTAAATTCAATGCTTTCCTATGAGAAGCATCTGATGGGTGTGTGGTGCATCACGTCCCCAATGATACTGTATAAGGAACATAGGAATGGACAACCACCTAGAGCAGTGGTTCCCAACCCAGCCCTCAAGTACTCCTACCAATTCAGGATTTAGGGATTATGTCTAAAAGTTTTTTTTCCCATTTTTCTAAAAACACCTTAAACAACTGGGTAATACCTAAATCCTGGACTGTTGGGGGGTATTTTAGGACTGGGTTGGGAACCACTGGTGTAGATGGATGCCTCCAGGATGACATTGCATTAGGCAGAGAGGGCATTTTTTTCTATTATCCAAAATAGGGAATTGGGCACTAAAGGGTTAGAAATACAGGGTTGCATTCTTAACTCTATAGTGTCCCTTTAAATGTTTATTCACATAGCTCTTAGATGCTGTCAGTGTCAAAAATAGGTTATCAAAGTGTGAATATATTCTGCAGCTCTGTAAAATAGGTAGCAGAGCAAACACATATCTGCAACAGGACAGGTTAAGTGCAATTTAAAATGTTCAGGTGCTTTCACAGTTACAACAGATAGAACATATACTGACTCTAAAAATTAAATCTGAACAAATCGGTGGCTTGTATTTTCTTGCCTTGAAAACTACTTACAGGCAAAGCTTTGCTCAAGTGTCAGTAAAAAGTAATATTCAAGGTCAGGCTGATTTTTACATAGATGTATGGGAAGAGGGAGAAACCTAAACAATGCACATAGTTCTCATGAGGAAGTACAGTAACATGCTGAAAATCCTGAGTTGCATAACTTTTGCCACCATTACATAAACAGAATTCCATCAGAATCTCTGTGACAGAATACTAAATAGAATAGTAATAGAATTGTTTTTGCTGTTTCCAGAGTAGTTTAGCTGACTGAAAATAAGGTGAGGTGAAAGAACATAAAAAAACAGCCTGAGAGTGCATTGAGCCCAGTGTGAGCAACCACCATGTGTAACCAAACTGGCAGTGACCACACAGCTCGTCTCACCTATAATAACCCTCATCTCTGCAGCAACGTTGGGATAACCATAGAGTAAGACGAAAGATAGAACGGATCTGGAAGACTAGGCAAAGAGCCTGCCCATAACCATAGGAGAAGAGAAAGCAGAGAGAGAGAGAAAGAGCGTCTCGGAAATCATAGAGGCAGGGTTTAACACAGAAACCAGTTTGAAGCAAAGTAATAGAAATATACATGGAGTGACCCCTGGTGGTTTGCTTATGTAATTGCCGAAGTCTTTTTTTTTTTTTTTTTTAACTCATTGAAGGGCATTTTGACATGTTAGGGTTTGTATGGTTGGTAAAAACACAAAATGCAATGAAGGAGACTGCTTTACATCTATTAGTGATATATTCAAAATGATTGTAACATAATACCATAATAAGATTTAAAACATTTTTATGCAACAGTTTATTGATATAGTCATATATTTATTTTCAGTTTATGTACAGCGAGGGGAAAAAGTATTTGCTCCTCTGCTGATTTTGAACGTTTGCCCACTGACAAAGAAATGATCAGTCTATAATTTTAATGGTATGTGTATTTTAACAGTAAGAGGCAGAATAACAACAAAAAAAAAAGAAATCCAGAAAAACGCATGTCAATAAGTTATAAAAAGATTTGCATGTCAATAAGTGAAATAAGTATTTGACCCCTTTGACTATTGGTACTTAGTACTTGGTGGCAAAACCCTTGTTGGCAATAACAGAGTTCAGACGTTTCTTGTAGTTGGCCACCAGGTTTGCACACATCTCAGGAGGGATTTTGTCCCACTCCTCTTTGCAGATCCTCTCCAAATCATTAAGGTTTCGAGGCTGACGTTTGGCAACTCAAACCTTCAGCTTCCTCCACAGATTTTCTATGGGATTTCGCCACTGGGTTTTGGTGGGGACTACTTGCCAGCCTTTTACCCTGTGACTATGGCCCCTTTAATTTATTTTGGCTGAGAGACCCTAATTGTGCCTATTGGCACTTTAAACATTGGTTCTTCGAACTCCTGAACAGTCCAAGTGGCCGCCATTCGACATTCGAACACGTGGTGGAGGCCATCTTGTTCAGATAAACTAAAACCGTGAATAGACTTCAGGGGGACTTAGCCACAAATGCCCTGGAACTATTTTCGGCATGAAAACCTTGCGGTTCCCCGTCGATCCTCCAGCAGAGCTGTTTTGGGCATGAAATCCTGGGTTCGTCCTGGAAAAAAATATGACTTCCATAAAATTTCTGAACCCCTGATCTTATCTGGGTGTTTTTGTTGTTCACCGAGATCAGAGCTATCAGGGGATGTAACATTTATGGGGATATGTTGTATTTAGGGGTACTTATGGTACTTTATAAAAATGTGTATTTTTTCTGCCTGTGGATATTTAAGTTAATGCATTAACTACCTTAATTATATCACAGACAGAGGGGAGGGATTGTTTACTGTTTGTGGGAATGTTGTTAATTGTTACATTGTTTTTATTGGTCAGTACATTTTGTAATTCGGTGCCCCATAGGGTCCAGGGGGTGTTCCCCTGGCCTGAGGAATTGTATATAAATCCAACCTGTACCAATAAACCTTCAGATCTCTTCACCCTCAATACTGAGTTCTATCTCTTATTGTAGGGAGCTGCTATATCACTACCAGGGATTGCTATTCATCGTTATGCTCCCTTGGATAATCACTAGCTCTTCTAAGAGCTTTTCTTGTTACGCTCTCCTGGAGGAGATATCTTTCCTACATAGTCCTGGATAGCAGCGGTTGGTCCAGGGTGGGAAGAAGACGGCGAGATTCCAGTTAAGCTACGGCAGTTGCAGAGTTTGCGGTGCTGATGGTGTCCGGTGCAGTGCTTATAGTCCTTGGCGTCCACTAGGGAGCATCCGTTGACGGAGGTGCCCAGTCGGTGTGCCAGGTGGTCCGTTACAGGGGTTAAGGTCTGGAGACTGGCTCCAGGACTTTAATGTGCTTCTTCGTGAGCCACTCCTTTGTTCCCTTGGCTGTGTGTTTTGGGTCATTGTCATGCTGAAATACCCATCCACGACCCACGGGAAGGAGGTTCTGACCCAAGATTTGACGGTACATGGCTCCGTCCATTGTCCCTTTGATGGGGTGCAGTTGTTCTGTCCCCTTAGCAGAAAAACACCCCCAAAGCCATGTCAACCCTAATCTGTAACAAGGTGATCGAAGCAAAGCTATTAAACTCCATTATATCATTCATCAACAAGTTCTCTGTGCTAAGCATCTCAAATATGATCATGTTATGAAACCGGTGCTAAAGACTATAAAAAAAATTTCAGCGTTGCAGGAAATAATGAACAGTTTTCCACAGGACAATATCAGTGCGCAAACAAGCAGGTATGGTGCAGACATCGCATACCTGGCTGGGGAGTTTAAACTGCGCTTTCAGGATTTTGCTGCTATCAAAAAGGAGATCAGCCTTTTCTCCTCTCCATTCTCTGTTGACCCCAATGATGCTCCAGATCAGCTGCAGCTCGAGCTCATTGAGCTGCATTGTGACAGCGAGTTACGCAGTCGTCACCAACAGCTCTCTCTTGTGAACTTTTACCGCCAACTAGATAAGAGCCGGTTTCAAGAGTTTCGAACATTGGCTAAGAAATTGCTGAGCTTGTTTGGCTCAACATATTTGTGTGAGAAGACTAAGTGACTCTCACCTGCGTGACATTTTGTGAATCAAAACCACTGCCTTTGAACCAGATCTTGCCTATGTGCTGCAGTCCAGAGCTCAGTTTCACCCTTCACATTAGTGTAGGCAAGTTTTTTTCTCAATTGAGATGAATACATTGTAAAATCTCAGTTAATATCAGTTGGTCTAAATCAGGTATAAATATATTTGGACACAACATGTATACTTGGTGTTGTGTTCCTGACCGTATTTTTTTCACTTAAAAGTTGACAGACAACCTTTATTACCAATAATATGTAATGTACTTTACAATGTTCCTGACATATATTTCAGCTTCCAGTTTTGTTTTTTTCATCTGGCCTTCAGATATGAAAGGCAGAGTGATTTAACACCTGTTTAGATTTGTCATCCATGTGACGAAATGAAAAGGATGCTGTTTGCATTAAACTTTGCATAAAATAGTTAATTTGCATAAAATTTTAATGGTTCAAAGAATGTCAGACAAAATGGTCGGCCATCAAGCATGTTCACTTCATCAAATCTATCCCTCTTTGAAAAACGTTTGGACACCCCTGCTCTACAGCTGTTACTCTTTAAAATACTCTTGAAAGTGACTCTTTACATACTTCAGAATTCAGTGGATTTTGGATTATTGCTTCCCTCGGCATGACAGAACTCTGGTATCCCCTAATTTAAATTTGCCCAACCCCTTCCTGCCAAGGCCACACCTCTTCCTGTTAAAGACTAACACACATTTTGACTGACAGACACACACTGACACATGCATATTCACTAATCTGACACAATCTCACAGACATACGCAATCATTCAGACACACATTGACAGATGCACACATGCACTGGCACACACGCACACTCACTGACAGACACGCACAATCACTCAGACACACACATTCACTGACAGATACACACACATTTACTGAAAAAAACACACACTCACTCACAGACACAATGATAAATATACACACAAATTCACTGACAGGCAGACACAAATTCACTGATAGACACACTGACAGATATACACACACATTTGCTGAGAGACACACATTGACAGACACACAGACACACTCACTGACAGACACACACAGTCACTGACAAACGTGCACACATTTTCTCCCAGCACTCACAAATTATTTTTTTATTTTTTTTTAATTTAAATCCATCCAGCCTCCCTACTTTTGGGAAAACTGGGTGGATTATTTACCTGGGGTCCAGTGGGGCTGCTGAGCAGGCAGGTGAGTGGCCAAAGTAAGTGGCGAGGGAGCTGTGATCTGCCTGCTCATCTCCCTCATGCACCACTTAGTGATGCCGGGAGCTGGACTTACATCATATTCCGGCTCCCGGCACCACTGCGGGGTGCGCAAAGGAACTGAGCAGGAGGAGCTCACAAACCAGTGCTCGCTTGTCGCCTTCCCAGAACAGAACTGGTTGCCTGCCAGGGCGGGGTCCAAAGTTGGCCAGTTGACCAGCTCTTATGCCCACATAAAACAAGGCTAGCAAGGCATTTGCCTGGGCATTTGGGGGAGGAGTTTTTTGTTGCCCCCCTTGGAAAGTGCCACCTAAGGAAAATGTTTTCTTAGCGGTAAATACAGCCCTGACACAATTTCATCAAATGCCACAAACAGTTAATGGCTGCTGCTATTTACAGCCAATCACTAAGTGGTGGGTAATGGCTTGCATTATTCATTAGGAATCGACTGATTATTGGTTTTACTGATATTATCGGCCGATATTCGTTATTTTCGGCAATACAGTATCGGTATCGGCCAATATACATACCGATATTGCCAATAATACATACCAGGACCGCCGTGCCCATTACAAACCCAGTGGTCCTGGAGGGGCCCACAGCAAGCTGTTACTTACCTTCCCAGCAGCTCCCTTCAGCTCCCTGTGTAAATCTCGCGAGTCCCGCAGCCGTCAGAGCACGAGATTTTACCATGGCAACGCTCCGTGCGGCACGCAAACCGCTAGATTTACACAGGGAGCTGAAGGAACCTGCTGGGAAGTTAAGTAACAGCTTGCTGTGTGTTCCCCCCCCCCCCACCACTGCACAGTCCATGCCACTGGACCACCAGGTAACAAGCAGGGGGGGAGGGGGACAAAAAAATAAAACATATAAATATTAAAAATAAAATTAAAATAATTTTACACAAATTACAGTTTACACAAATTACATCCCTTCAGAAACACAAACACACACACACTCTGCATTCATTATACACACACTAAACAAACACACTGCATTCACTATACACACACTACACACTGCATTCACTTTACGCACACTATACAAACACACTGCATTCACTTTACGCACACTATACAAACACACTGCATTCACTTTACACACACCACACACTACATTCACTATACACACACTACACAAACACACACACTCTGCATTCACTATATATATACACACTACACAAACACTCACTGCATTCACTATACACACTACACAAACACATCCTGCATTCATTATATACACACTACACAAATACACACGGCATCCACCAGACAAACACACACATCTCCCCTGTCTAAAGCATCCACTACATGTGGCATGTATATTTTGTGCATTTACCTTAAGAAATAGTTTATTTTTTCAAAATGGTAAATGTACAGAATATCGGCAAGTTATCGGCTATCGGCCTGAAAATTCACAGATAATCGGTATCGGTATCGGCTCTAAAAATTCAATATCGGTCAATCCCTATTTCATTATGGGAGCATCTAACCGCTACTTATTGAGTGTTTTCCAACTGATTTCCAACCCCGTCACTATTCATTACCAGTTGCCTCTTACCCACAAAACTTACCCACAGGCCTTTTGCCAGGTGCAAAGAAGTTAACAGCAAACTACCAATACATCCTATAGGAATAATGCATGTTAACTATATAGCATTACATGGAAACAAATGCAAACAGCATTCCGATTAAATAAAGGCCAACACATGATAAATAATGTAAAATTATTCTGTGTAAATCAGTGCATGTGTCGCCTTGTGGGCAATCCTGCTCTATTCACAAAGCAGAAATGAACCTTGAAAGTTACATAAATATAAATCTGGCATAGTACAAAATCACAATTGTCTCCTGGAAAGGCTTCATAGGGTGAATAAAGTACGCATGCTCAGAATGAGCTTTTTTATTGTCAAGACGTGGTTACTGTGGTAACAACATCCACACAATGTGTGTTTGTGTGCTTTACCCGCGAGTGGCTAATCCGTGAGCAGTCAGCTGGCAAAAAGGTTGGAAAACAGTCGATATTAGTAGCCGCCACTGACAACCAGCAGTTCTTAATAGCAATAGTTCTTGATTTAAATAGTTTGTTCTACTTTTAATATTTTGATCTCAGCATTATGTTGATGTGTTAAAAGCACCCTAGGAGAAAAGGGTAGCAGAACATTCATAAATAAAAAAATAATAAAAAATCTGCCGGTATTGTAACATTTTTAGGTGCTGCATTCACTTTAACAAGTACTATGGAACAACAAAGGAAATGACTAAAAGGGAAGCGGTGAGGTAAATCCCCTATTCTGTATGTAATGTGCTGTCATATACAAAGTATTTAGTATTTATAGTTGCATTCTCAGAATTTAGTGTTAATGTACTTTCAGGTTGAGGTGATAAAATATTTTTTTTTAATGGAACGTGTGATTTAAAATTTTTTTTTTTTATAGAAAACAATTTGTAAAATCAAAATCTAAAATATAAATGCTGTCTCTAACCAGGTTTATATCTAAATATATATATATATATATATATATATATATATATACACACACACACACATGCACAATACAATGGACTCAAGTTCAATATAATATAACCAGGATTTTTAACATTATGTTTTCTTATCCCTATATTTAACAAATAAGTATTATTGAGGTGTGAAAAATAAAATAAAATATAAAATCAACAGTTCTCCTGCATCTGGATACCTCAATCTTTGCTCTCTGTTAAAGGAACACTATAGCATTTGGAATATGAACATCTATATTTAACGTTATAGTGTACTTCTCCCTTTTTAGATTCAGTACACCATAAATTAAAGGACAGGCACTAGAGGTGTGCTTAGGCCTGCAATCAAAACAATTGCAAAATGTGTCCTTGCTTTGCCTTGTCTGAAATGGAGTGTGATGTAATTTGCTAAATCTATAAGGGAACACTCCAAGCATATCATCTCAATTAACATGTGAGGGTGCCTGGAGTTCCCCCTTTTTTTTACTGCCTTATTTTTTTCTCCAGATCTCTATCCTGTGCTGCCATCTTAGTGTTCCTTGATGATGTTTACAGCATCACCTTCAACACTAGCTTGCGCGGTGAAATTACAATGCATGCCCGTTACACTTGGGCATTCATTTTCGTCAGAATTTCATCTATTCGTCTATTTGCCCGAAAGACAAAATTTTATTCTTCAATTATTTGTTTGTTCATTTTAGTGGCTCCCTCCTTGTAATATTTAAAATTAGCTGTGCTCCCTGCTGCTTCCTAAATCCCCCAAGCCTGCCCCCTCACCCTATGGGGGTCAGTATGACACCCATATTAGTATAAGGATGGTTAAATTCTCATTCCTGCCCCTTCTGCCTTGCAGTGAGTAGGAGCATGTCCACTAAACAATGAGCAGTCAGTGACTGCGGGTGGGGGCCCTAAATGATAATGAGGGGGGGGACTTATTGTCTCCCCAGCCCCCATCCATTGGCAGCAGGTGAGGGCCCTAACTGATAAGGTTGGGAACCTATTGTGCCCACCTAGCCCCCACCCATTGGTGGTAGGTCGGTGGATAATAATGAGTGGGACCTATTGTCCACCCCAGCTTCCACCCATTGGTGGTCGGTGGGGGCTAATTGTAAAAATAATTCTTCCTCCCTGTGACATGGGGTCCACAAGCCCTAGTCACCCAACCAATAACCAAAAAAGAAATATCTGAAAAAGAAAAAAATTATACTCAACATTAGATGTCTTCTTTTTTGTATCATCTTTTTTTTTAGCCTCAAAAAAGCCCAAATAACAGCATTACCTTGACTTAAGACAACCACTCAAATAGATTACATCTAATGGTAAGTATTATTATCCTATTTTTCTTTATTTTTTAGGTATTTAGTTTATTGCCCCCTCACTAAATACCCCCCTATTCTGTATGTAATGTGCTGTCATATACAAAGTATTTAGTATTTATAGTTGCATTCTCAGAATTTAGTGTTAATGTACTTTCAGGTTGAGGTGATAAAATATTTTTTTTTAATGGAACGTGTGATTTAAAAAAAAAAATTTTTATAGAAAAAAATTTGTAAAATCAAAATCTAAAATATATATGCTGTTACGGAGGGGAACTGTCTCTAACCAGGATTATATATATATTTATATATATATATATATATATACACACACATGCACAATACAATGGACTCAAGTTCAATATAATATAACCAGGATTTTTAACATTATGTTTTCTTATCCCTATATTTAACAAATATAAGGGTGACTAGGAGCTTAGGGACTTCCAGTCACAGGGGGAGGGAATTTGTTTTGTTCAACGCATAAACTTTATTTTAAAAAATTCCGTATTATTAGTTTAGTTTTTTTGTCAAAAACAGACAGAACATTGGGTTACAGAGATTGCAAAGGTTTTAACACTGGCATCACATTGGGTGTACATTCACTTGTTAACAAATGGCATCTTACTACTTAGTGAATGAGTTGAGCGGACCCCTGGGTCTCCCAGCCTAAAGAGCGTAGTGTGCTTCCCAGTCACACCACACTTTCTTGAATTTCGATAATAGATTAAGGTATGTATGTGCCATCGCTTCACAATTCTGTGTTGCTTGTAGAGACTGAATCATCATTTGGATGTGTGGTGAGACACTCTATTTCCATTGTTGACCAATAGCAGTTTTGGCTGCTGGAAGGATATGGAGGATCAAGGATTTTTGATGTCTTGGGATCGTTTGGGGAAGCATGTCCAAGAGGAATCATTGGGGTTCTTGAGGCAGAAAAATGTTTGTAATTGTGTGGATTAGACTTTGGATCTCTACCCAGAAAGGCTTCAGGGCAGCACAGTCCCAGAAGACATGTATTAGTATGCTTTTGCCAGCTTTGCACCTCTAGCAGGAGTCCAGTGGGGGACTCCAGATAGGAAATTTGTTTTGGATGAAACAAACATTTCAGTGGTGCCCAAGTCAACATTACAGGATGTTTGGAAAGGGCAAAAGGAGGCAATGTGAAAACAAGCGATATTAAACTAAGGTATTTACAAGTTTTGATAGAAACAAATCCCCTCAAAAAAACAAAAGAAAATTTATTTTAGAAAAACATAGTTTAAGAAATGAAAATAAAGTATATACACTGATGCCATATGTAAGATATAGTCGGTAGATCAGGAAAAAGGCTTCCAAAATATAATATTGTGTGTAGAAGCTGCAGTATTCCTGCGTTTAATATCACTTATATTTGGTCTATTAACTACACTACCTAAGTTTATACTTACCAATTGGAATTCTTTTGATTATTAACCCCTTAAGGACACATGACGGAAATATTCCATCATGATTCCCTTTTATTCCAGAAGTTGTGCCCTTAAGGGGTTAAAAAGCGTCTTTTAAGTTATTTAATAAAAGCTAAGTTTTAATCCTTGTTAAATTATTGGTCAGGGCATCTAGCGGTTCTTGTTTCTGATCTAAAAACATTCATCACTGCCTGTGAACTTATGCTTGCCTTGAAACCACGAACCTACCTGAATGATTACGTTAAGGTACTGTGATCACCTTACTATCATGACAATCTCAAACATGGGCTCAGCAACTACTTCATACCAACAGTCCTCAGCCGGCTTCAAAGGAAACCTTAATTTCTGCTATGTAAATTCTATATGATGATCCCTTAAGAGCATCTACTGCACACATCATGTGGCTCCTGCAACTAGAGAAAAAATCTGTAGAGCAGACTTCAGAGAGGTGGCCCCAGATACAGAGTACAATGAGATTGGTCTCACAGAATAATATCGTCTCGGGCTATCTGAACTATTGAAAGATGAGTTTGGTAGACTAGGCATGCCACCCTCTTTGGTGGAACTGATCCTGCTTGTAACATAATTAGACCAACACATCCCCTTACTCCCTTCTCAAACTTGCACATGCAAGAGTACATCAGTGACGTACAGCAGTGACGTGAGGGACAGGTTGATGGTGCCTACGAGGGACAGATTCAAGGAAGTAGAACTCACCTATGCTGCCCCTCCCCAGCCACTGGACCCCCAGTGATGATGATATTGTTGGGGGTCTTTGCAAATTATGTAAAGTCCCCAGACGGTTTCAGTACTGCTTTAACTTTTTGGATGCCACAATATTGTAGTGTGCTAAGATCTCCATTATGTCATTTTGCAAAATCACCTGGCAAAGTATGGTTGTCAAATTTTCTTCCTATGTTGCACACATGTTTTTACTTTTGGCATTCTTTAGGTTTGTCCTATGTGAGACTAGGAGAACATGTGGGCAATATGAAAGGAAAATATTACAATCGTAGCTTGTCAGAGATCCTAGCACAGTACAATATTATGGCATTCAAAAAGTTAAACATTATTTTTGAGTTTTGGGGAGTTTTTTTGTGCATAGCAACTTATGAATTGTTAAAGTATTGCTAGTTTTTTATATAAACTGTGTAGAACAAATTATGGTCCAGCCACTCAGGGTAGTAACACAAATAGCAGCTTACTGGGACAAGAGGAGCAACTGCTCTTGCCCCAATAAAGCTGCTATTTTTGTTACTACCCCGATTGCCTGGACCAGTGTATGGGGGGCATTGTGTGTTTGTGGGGCAGTGTGTGTGTATGGGGGAGCAGTGTATGCTTGTGGGGCAGTTTGTGTGTATGGGGGGGAAGGAGGGTAGGGAGGCTTTTAATAATGTTTTTTATTTATTTAATAAAATAAATATACATTATGTAACCCCCCCTTCTTACCTTTACTGGGGGTGGAGGGGGGACATTTCTCGATCAATGGTGGTCCGTGGGGAATCCCTGGTGGTCGCAATGGTGAGAGTGAACTCTAGCCTGCAGCTCCAGGGCTAGCGTTCACTCTCGCGAGATCCAGAGCATTACCGTGGTAACCGTGGCAATGCTCTGTGTTTGCGAGAGAAAGACCCGGAGGAGCTGCAGGCTGAGCTCTTTCCCTCACTCCGCTGCTGGCTGCCAGCACCGTGCCTGCGGACCGGGGAGGGAGATCTCTGATCTCCCCTCCGGTCCTTGAAGGCACATTGCAGGGCTGGAGCTTGGACGGTGCCAGCCCTGCATTAGCTGACAGGGGAGAGCCTCGGCCTGCCTTGTAATCTTGGGAGGGTGGGGGGTAATTGCCCCGTTGCCCCTCCCCCGGAAGTAAAAACAGGTCACTTGACATTACAGCTCCTCTATGAGAAGCATTGAATTGGACCAGGATTGGATGAGGAATAGCTGCTTCTGCAATGATGTCAGGAGAAGTGGAGTTGTCACCTGGGTCCAGAGAATCTCAGCGCTTGAAAATGTGAATAGACTTGTTTTACGTGTTTTGTAGTGCAAAACACTATAATGGACTAGGGCATTATAGTGTTTAGAATACAATTTTGTATTCCTAATGCTACAGTGTTTATTTGACTATTTTCAGTTGCTACACATAACTTTTGAATGTGGGAAAAGGAGGGCAGAAATAAATAGAACATTTCTTCAACCCCCTTATGTTATTGATTGACATGAGGTAGCTATCTCATTGTTTATGTGCGACTGCCTATATCAATGGAGAGCCACATCTAACAAAAACCACAATAATTAATGCTTAGGTTGTGTAGGATGCAATATATATTTTTTGAACACTTTCCCATGTATCACCTGCATAGAAGATTCTCTGGTTCCCTCTATTGGTTATTGTTGTTAATGCTCTTATTTTTGTTTCCTACAAATTCATGCAACCTTACCTAACAGGATTACTCGTTTAAGTCCTTAAGGACACAGCTTCAGAAGCTTGTCTTACCCTTAAGGACACAAGCCATTTTTGCATTTTTTGCGGTTTGTGTTCAAACACTACTTGCATCACTGTCATTTATTGCACCAACAAAGATTATATTCAATTTTTTTAGAGGGCAAACAGGGCCTTAATTTGATGTCACATATACATAGATACACTCTTATTAATTATAAAAATAAATAAATAAAATGTTTTCACAGTTTTGGTAATAATAACGTGTGCATAATATGTCCAGCTTAGAAAAAGTAGTTCAAAATAAATTCATTTATGTGTCTTGATTTATAGAGTACATAATATGTATAGGATTTCAGCTTATTTTAAAAGTTACAGGTCACAAAATACAAGGACTAAAATAAAATTTCAATTTGCAACAATTTTAGAAGTTGGTATGAAAAGAAAATTGCCACACAAAAGTATATATTTATATAAAGTAGACATCAGAGGCTAGTTTGACCCTTTTACGTAGCCATTTCATCGCCAATGTCTGCTAAATATTGGAGTAAAATTGTGTTTCTTCTTTATTTTGGCATATACACAACAAGGTTTTTGTAATGTGTATTTCGTAAAGCTGGTGTTTGCTATTCCTGCACAGAACCCCATATTGTGTTCAGCTACATTTGCTGAGTATAACGATAACCCCATTCTATGCCTTTTCAGTATACTGTAAAGCTACAATGTTATATAACAGACAAGGCTATTTCAGTTTCTATAGTTAGAATTTTCGTAGATGGATTTGACGGGCCTATGTCTCATTTTAAGGTATTATAGCAGAGTATTTCTTACACTTGATATGTACCACTGTCTTAAAAAAACAACTCATTATGCTAAGTTACATCTGAGTAAAACAATATGCCCAATGTATGACCTAGACACTATTTTGTGAAGTTACAGTGCTGTAAAAGAGACGTGACAAGTTCAGGTTTTTAAGTGTGAATTTTCATGGAGGTTTTGATGAGTTTGTGTCCCACTTTGGATCACGTGAGCAGGCTTTATATTCCAGCTACACCATAAAGGCATACCATTTCTTAAAGAAGACATCCCAGGGTATTTCAAAAGGCATATTTTGAACCTTAGCGTGGGATCATTTTTCCACTAGCTTGTACCAAGTGTAGTGATAATAAGCGTTTTTTCTGCCTTTTTGACACACAAAGTGAGTTTGCACAGTATATTTTGCAAATCATATGTGTGCTACGACTGTATAATACTTCATATGTTGCACAGCTATGTCGGCTGAGTACAGCAATACCCCCGTATATCCCTTTGCCAAGTATATGTGGACATCAGAGGGGCACATTTGGGACACAGCCGTGTCTATGTCCCATTTTAGAGTATTTTACCAGGCTATATAATCCAAATACCCCATAAAGCCATACCATTTCTTAAAGAAGACATCCAGGGTATTTCAAACAGCATATTTTGAACCTTAGAGTGGGATCATTTTTCCGCTAACTTGTATCAAGTGTAGTGGTAATAAGCATTTTTTCTGCCTTTTTGACACACAAAGTGAGTTTGCACAGTATATTTTGCAAACCTTATGTGTGCTACGACTGTATAATACTACATATGTTGCTCAGCTAAGTCGTCTGAGTACAGCAATACCCCCGTATGTACCTTTGCCAGGTATTTTTAGGAGATTTCATCTAAGGCAAAGAAAAGGTTTTTTTACAGTAAGAACAATAAGGATATGGAATTCTCTGCCTGAAGAGGTGGTTTTGTCAGAGTCCATACAGATGTTTAAACTGAAATTGGATAAATACTTACAAAAACATAACATACAGGGATATAATTTCTAATTAGTGGGTAATAGCTGATTGATCCAAGAAGACATCTGACTGCTATTTTGTGGTCAAGAAGGAATTTTTTCCTAGTTTGTGGCAAAATTGGAAGTGCTTCAGACCAGGTTTTTTGCCTTCTTTTGGATCAACAGCAACAACATTTCTGAGGAAGGCTGAACTTGATGGACGCAAGTCTCTTTTCAGCTATGTAACTATGTAATATGTGGATGTTGAAAGGGCACATTTGAGATGCAGCCATTCAGTTTTTTTTCTAACTTTGAAGTTTTACGCTGTGTCCATGTTCCATTTTGGAGTAGTTTAGATGGTTGCCTTTTTGACACACAAAGTGAGTTTGCACAGTATATTTTGCAAACCTTACACATGCTAAAACTGTATAATATTATACTTCATATGTTTCTGAGCTATGTCGTCTGAGTACAGCAATACCCCCATATGTACCTTTGCTAGGTATATGTGGACATTGAAGGGACACATTTGAGACACAATCATATTTTTTTTCCAAACTTTGAATTTTTACGCTGTGTCCCATTTTAGAGTATTTTAGCTTGTTATATAATCCAACTACCCCTTGAAGGCATACCATTTCTTAAAGAAGACATTCCAGGGTATTTCAAAAGGCATATTTTGAACCTTAGCGTGGGATCATTTTTCCGCTAGTTTGTACCAAGTGTAGTGGTAATAAGCGTTTTTTCTGCCTTTTTGACACACAAAATGAGTTTGCACAGTATATTTTGCAAACCTTATGCGTGCTACAACTGTATAATACTTCATATGTTTCTCAGCTATGTCGTCTGAGTATAGCAATACCCACATATGTACCTTTGCCAGGTATGTGTGGACATTGAAGGAGCACATTTGAGACAGTCATTAAATTTTTTTTCTAACTTTGAAGTTTTATTCTGTGTCCATGTTCAAGTTTTGAGTAGTTTAGCTGGTTGGTTATTCAAACTTCCCCACAAACACATACTATTTATTAAAGAATACACCCTGGGGTAATTCAAAAGGCATATTTTGAACTTTAGCGGGGGATCATTTTTTCTCTGGTTTGTTCCAGGTGTAGTAGTAATGAGCATTTTTAAATGTATTTTTTTACTTTTTTAAACTTGTTTTACTTTTTAAAACTAGTTTTTAAACTTTTTTTGCTTATTACATTTTTTAAACTTTCTTAAAACTTTTTTACACATTTAACATTTTTATAAACTTTTTTTTTACTGGTAACCCCTAACTAGCAGAAAGCAGCACTAACAGTAAATTCCCCAATTTCCCATAACTCCCACTAAATAAATGGAACCCCTGAAGGGTTAAAAAAAAAGTTAACCCTAAGGGGTTAAAAAAATATATAATACTGTGATATGTATTTTGAGCACCGTAGTTAGTGATCAACTGGCAGGGAAGGGGTTAATTTTTATTAATACTGGATAAAGGGGTGTTTTTTTTTTTTAAACGTTATTAAAACTTTTTTAACGTTAACCCCTAGCTAGCCTAACACCAAATTCCAAAATTCCCCACTAACCTCCACCCACCCCAGCTAGCTAAATATGTAAGTTAAATATATTTAAATGAATTAACAAAATAAATGTAACCCCTGAGGGTTACAAAAAATAAAAGTTGACCCTCAGGGGTTAAAAAAATAATCAGATCACAGTAAAATGTAGTCCCTGCCAATTGATCACTGTAGCCAGTGATCAATTGGCAGGAAAGGGGTTAATTTTTATTTTAAATGGGTAAAGGGAGTGGGATTTTAAAATAACAATTTTTTTACACAGGGAGAACATCAGCAGTGATCCATCTCCCTG